GAATGTCATTTACCTACAAACACGTTCTCAACAATCATGTCAAGTCTTTGCACACGGTTAGGGTGCCTACTTAATCATTTACTCGGTTCTTTTTTTTGCCTTTTACCATATAACACATTTTTGACTCAAATTTTACGTTAAAAAAACTAAAGAACCCTCGTCCACACAAAATCAGAAAACTTGATGCCGACGATACGATTAATCGTCACGTTAGCAAATTAGAGCATCTCACAGGATTTGGTTATGAACGGGGTAGGAAAATTGAATGCACGGTGGAGGGCTGCAAGTACAAATTCAAACGTCAGTACGATCTAAGCAGGCACTTGAAAAGTATGCATTCCGAGATTACAAATTCCATCGAAGAATCATGAAAGCATAGAGTGATATTACCGATGGATATCGACGTGTTGGAGATAAATGTGTATGATAAAAATCTTTTGTTTTAATGCCACTTCACTCGGTATTTCCTGTAAAGAATAAGAAGTTTAATTATAACCGTTCAAGAAGGGACATTCTAATACGATTATTTTATATACGTATACACTGAAACATTCGATTTTGGTGACTTGCAACATTATTTCATTTATTATCTTGAAAAGCAGATGAAATTTTAATGATCACCTTGAAAAAAAACCAACTATTGACAACAGTGAACTAATATTACAAAGAGTCAAATTGATCTTAAATTTCAAATGCTTATGATTGACCTCTTTCGATCATTCTATATGTGACTGTGAATATCCTTTAAACTTTGTTCTCTACTTTACTACCATTATTAGCTTTGCTGTTTTCCGCATCGCCTTTTTTCATCTGAACTTCCGGTTCATCCTTCAACTCGATGAACCTTTCTTCATATTTTCTTTTGGCAAGTGTTAATAACCAAACACCAGCTGCAATTCCCATCAATCCTGCCAGAACGCTAAACACAATGATTAATATGGATCTCGTTTTTAATTTACTGTCTCCGACGGTATTCCCGTTTGATCCGGTATCGCTATTAGTCTGGTCACCGGTGAAAGCCCGCGATTGACAGGTGAGTACCACTGAACTTTGGGTGGCATCAGTGCAGTTCGCGCTGGTGATCACGGTGGGTTCATCAGATCCCGAGAAATTGTTCAACCACGTGGTTTTGTACGAGGAAAGGTATGTTGGGTATTGAATTGCAATCAGATCGAGTATGAAGATATCAGGACGGGCATAAGCTCTCTCACTCCAATCATCGAACCCATTGGCGTTTAAGAGTTTCTTGGGACGGAATACACGTCTATGAGTGATGAAATCGGGTAGTGGGCCAGTTGAAGTTGTGTAGTAACCAAAAAGACGTTGCCAACTGTCGAACGAGTCATTGCCAGGGGTAAATTTTGTTTGATCTATGATTATGTTAACATCGTTGATGACTTCGTGCAAGTCACTCACATTTAATGAGCCGGTGATGATGTTGAGTGAATTGGCACCTTCAAGAATAAAATACTCGAATAAACATCACGGAAAAAGAAAAAAATTCGGCAGAAACAAAAGACAAGGCATCTACAAACCTGCATCTTTGACCAACAAAGAGTAATATTTGTCATTGTCAACGGTATACATTCCAGTGTTGAAATCATATGCCACCCAAGCAATTGTTTTTTTCTTAACGATGTTTGCTACATTATTCATATTGCACGAATATGCTGCTTCGATACTAGAGTAAAAATCATTTGCTGACTTTTCGAGATTAAAGAAGATCGAAACAAATTTAACCCATTCTGCGTTCTAAATATATTAAAAGTCACTGATTCAGAAAGATGATTGTTAATGTTTGAAAACTTGATTCAAAAGGATGGAAAAGGTTACCGATAATGGTGACAGGTCATCACCCATAGAAACGATTACGGACTTGTTTTCATATGTTGAAGTGGTATTAGAGGAAAATACAATATCAACATTCGCAACGCTTGAGTCGTCAAACGACTGTATTGTGGTATCTTGTAGACACGGTGACGTAATACTTTCTTTTTTTCCGACATAGCGTAGTGAAGATTGAGCGCCAATGATCTTTTTAGATAAATAAAAAGACCAGTTTATATCCGCGTACGTACATACGTAATATAAATCATGTGACAAAACAGGAAAGAAGCTTACTTCTAAAAATGTAAGTGTGGTCTGGTCCAAACTCGCCACATTCTTCACCGGTATTTGGAAGTATCCTTTGATGTAATGTGCATAAGTCAGGTTTGGTGGAGTGGCGGTGCAGTAAAGAACATAGGTTTCTCCAACACGAGTATTGGTAACAATTTTGTAAGAGTTATAGTAGGATACTACGAATCCCGAACTACGATTATCTACAGAAATGAAATAAATAAATAAATATCCATCTGGAAGGTCGGCAATAACATCTTTTTTATTTTTCTTACCAACTTTATCGGGAAAATAGTCCACATTAGGATCGTAAGAGTTTAAACAGTCCGATATCACAGGTCGAACCAGGAAGACGCACAACGCCAAGAATCCCAGTGAATAATAATTTATGGTAATAGTGCTGCGTTTCATATTTCCTTTTTTTTCATAAAAACCAATCTTACAAGCAAAAACTAAGCATTCATAAATTGAAACGAAGAATAAAAAAACAAATGCTCGAATTTTCGTCAATCAGTATGTTCACAAGTCCTCGCTAAAGAACAGAGAGGATGAATTCCTTTTGGGGGGTCATGATGACTATTAAATCAGTGAATTTGTGTGCACAGAAATTTTTGTACAAAACAACTGTAGCGTACATAAATGTACACATAAGTATATTTATGGTCGTTTTAATATAATTTTAAGTTTTTTTTTATTTTTTTAGAATGCCAATGTACAACGTGTACATACATATAATACAACGGACACAACGTATCAAAACTCGCGTCATTCATGACACCAGGGCTTCCTTCAATAGATCCCGACATTTAATCATTGTTCCTTCCGCTAATAAATCAAACGTTTTTCTTTCAGTGCGACTGTGTGTAATTCCATATGAATTTTTTTATCTGTGAAACAAATTACATATATCCATATACGGTATATTAATCAGCCATATATACACAAATTATTCTAAAATTGGTCAAATTAAAACAAAAACTTAAATCCAAAACATTTTGATGTAAACCTATTGTTTTTATAATTAAAATTTAAAGTTAAAAATCGTTTTAAATAATAAAAATCAATTATAACAAGGTTTTTTATCGAAAAATTAGATAATTTTATAAACTTAATTTATATTTAAAAACATACAAAAATAAAACAATATTATATACAATATTTTTTTTTTATAAAATTTAAAATTTAATTTTTTAAAATCATATACTGTATATCTATTTATATATTGTATTTATTTAAATAATATAAATACAATATAATAAATAATAATAATAATAATAATAATTTTATACAAAAAGTAAAGTAATAGTTATAATATTAAATATATTTATTAATATAAAATAATTTATATAAATTTGATAATTTTAATATTTATTTATTATTACTTTAATTATTTTTAGTTAAGAAATAATATTATAATAATATTAAAAAAAAAAAACTTTTTTCCACTCCCCCTTCTGCACTTGAAAATTTTCTTTTTAGGAAATTTTTGAGTTGTTTACTTTTTTCTTCGCTCTTCCTCTTCCCCTCTCCTTTACTTCCCCTTTCCCATATCCTTTTATTTCCCCCTTTCTATTTCTTACTTCTCTTTTCTATAAACTTCTTTATATAAAGCTTATCTCTCCCCTTTTGTTTTCCCCTTCCCTGCCAAAGTTAGGTTTTTCCTTCTTCCTGAAGATTTTCTTTCTAGGTTTCTTTTTCTTTTATAAAAACTCGCTCTCCATAATATCAATCTCCTGGTCAGTTGGCTCCCTTTTCTCAAGACTATATGCAAAAGTGGTAACTTCTCTTAAGATGTGAGCTTCAGAATTTTCTCTCTTCCATGGCCTCACAGAAAAAGGATGGATCGTTTACCCCCTCCAAAAGATCGACATAGTTATCATTACCAAATCTGGTGTTGTTTACTTGTTGATGACTAAACTAGATATATCTAAGAAACTGGTATACAACTATTATTATCCAAAAGTATTCAAGAAGTTGCGCCCCACTGTATCCAGAAAAATATGGCAGCCAATGCCAATGCAGCTAACAATAAGCTAGGTTAGTTACAGGTGTTATGCTGGTGATTGGAAAACCTAGTAGAATAATACGTGAAGATCCGAAATTCTAGTTACCCCCGCAATACGAGCTGGTGATGACAACGAAAGTTTCTCGTTCACCCCTCCGATAATGTAGGCTCATTGTATAAGGTTAGGTAACAACATCTATAAGAAACTCCAAATCCATTACATCCGACAACTTCTTTCAACAACTACTACTACATGTTCAAACACTTTTCCTTCACTTTCCCCTGCCTTATACCAGTGCTGGATTCTACTCAAATACTTAAATGGTGCAGCTATGTATACAAAGCTTCTTATAAAGAGTGGTTGTCCCCTTCCCTACTTGCCGCAGATGTAGGCAACTGCTACAGGCCTGGTCAACCTGTAATCTGCCACAATCCTAAAAGGGTAGAAAAGGTCAAATACTAGGTGGTCGGATGAAAGACTAATTTCCACGAGACGTCTGCGTCAGTGTAGCGGCCATTTAATTAGTTAAGCAATTATCCAGAGAAAGTATAAAGTGGAACACATCTCAGCTTGCTGTATATCAAGCCATATTTGAAAAGCAAGCTTGCCAATCCTAGTCATGACTTGGAGACCAACCTGTATATGGTGGCTGCAGCGCTTTCATGTGGCTAGGTATTCAAATTTTCTAGGTAGCTAGACACTATTCAAGGCATAATATAGGTTTTGAACTTCTTTTTTCTATATTCTTGGGTGGTGCTAAGAAGCATAGAGGATGGATCGCATTTGTGAAACCTGGCATTTAACTCTTCTTAGCAAAGAGAGATGTATATTATATTGTAACTGTGTTATAAATCTTGTACTGCAAGTCTAAAATTATAATAATAAAATAAAGTGTAATAACCTTTTGCTCCTTCAAAAAAAATATATAATATTATTATTATAATAATATTATAGTTATTAATTATTTGATTAAAAATTCTGTTTTTATTTAATATATAATTTGATTTGATTTTATTTTTTTAACTAGTAAGATCTTGTTTAACATATTTTATTTAGTTTATATTTGTATTTTTAATTACAAAAATTAAACTATTCTAAATGCATATTTTGCTATATTGAGATAATTCTGTTATTAACTTATTTTTTGACATGTATCAAGACTAATGTATCAAGGTTCCATTAGTATTATTATTGTATAAATAATAAAAGTTAAAAATAATTATATTATTTTTTTAATTTAATCAGTTATTTATAAATTTTCATTGCAATTTTCTTGTTTTCTTTGTTCTTTTTATTAGAAATCTATATTGTATTGTGTTCTTAAATTAAGTATCAACTTGTTATTTTTTCTTTTTTTTTCTACTATTTATATTTTTTATTTTTTCAATTATTAAAATATTATATATCTGTAATTCCAAAGTTTTTGAAGTTTTTTTGTTATTTGATTTGCAATCATCTTTAATATATCTTTAATTTTTACATCATTAATATATCTTATCAGATTAATTAGATCCTTTTTATAAATATCTTTAATTATATATCTGATTATTTTTTTTGAATTGTTAATAATATATTTGAATTGATTTCTTCAATAGAATATTCTTTTTTGTTTTTTCATTTTGTTAAATATTTTTTCATTTAATACTTATATATACTTGATTCTAATTTTGTTTTTATAATATTTACTAAAAATATTTTTATAATCTTTTATTTTTTATACTAAAGACATATTTTGTTTTTATATACTGTGAACGTGATTTTCGACGAGTCTGTCGCTTCTTGGACCAGCATTCACATAACGTTCAGGTGGATAGGTTTCTACTTGGCCGGGTTTTCTTTTAACTAATGTTCCTCTTGTCCCTCGTCCTTGTGCTTTTACTGATAATCTTTTGCCACCATTTCTTCGTGGCCCTTTGGATTATCCTCTTTCCAAGCTAGCAATACTAAACAAGATAAGTTTATTAATTGGAAATTCCTTTCTTTGGCATTGTCGATCGCACTACTAATTTAGCAATTTTTAATTAGTTATCTCACTATAGAGTGTAATACTTTTGGGTGTTCAGTTTTTCTTGTTCTATTTTCTGATTCTTCTTTATCATAAGTACATTGTTCTTTTATATCCTAATGCTATGCTAGAATAAACTATCGCTGATATCATGGATTTAGACTTTTTAAGCTTACTATTAAACTATCGTCTAAACTACTTCATTTTCAACATCACATTTCTGGGTTTTAGACATGCGACACACGAATCGCATTACGCATCCATCCCTCATTATACCTTCCCTATTCACAATACAATATATCAGATCTTTTCTTATTTAATTTGTTTTTGATAAAAAGTTCTTTATTGAA